CAACATGAATTGGAACTAACACATCCCCAACAAGATGATGCCTAAACCACCCCATTACAAGCAAAAACTTTACTGCCATAAAACGATGCCTAATGACTCAAAGCGTTAAGTTCTCTTTGAAAAAAAAAAGGCTCATCTTTTTTCCTATGGGGACAAAGCAGCAAATGCAGCGAAAATACTTACACTGTGATGCCAGCAACACCGACAGGGAAGCTGGCAAAACCAACCCTGCTACTGTACAACAGGATATTGATGACATAGTACTGCTACAGCCTGACGGGGAAAGTAACATGAGAATTGCATCAGCGCTTATTAAAGCCGACCCTTGGCCGCGAAGTCGCGTTTCACACATAAAGCAGTTTTCAGCGCTCCAGCTGGCCTTGGGAGCAGCTCTTGAGGATTAGAAAGGGGCAACACCGTCACCGTGTGGCCGAAAGCGGCCATGTCACAAGAACGCGATACACCGAGTCCTGCCTGCAATCCCGAAAAGCAACTGCTTGCTGCATTTCCTTCCTTCATCACTCAGACACTCCGCAGGCTGCTGAATTCACGTGAAGAAAGCACGGATGCATATGGGTACCTACGGACTTCTGCTATTTCCCCCCTGTGCAGTACATGGCATCATACATTAAACTCCATAAAATCCATACATGGATTATAGAATCACAGACTCCCAGCCTGGTTTGGGCAGAATGGGACCTCATAGCTCCTCCAGCTCCAACCCTTGCCACTGGCAGGGACCCCTTCCACCAGAGCAGCTTGCTCCAAGCCCCTGTGTCCAACCTGGCCTTGAACACTGCCAGGGATGGGGCAGCCACAGCTTCTCTGGGCACCCTGTGCCAGTGCCTCAGCACCCTCCCAGGGAAGAGCTTCTGCCTAAGAGCTCATCTCAGTCTCCCCTCAGGCAGGTTAAAGCCATTCCCCTTGGCCTGTCCCTACAGACCCTTGTCCAAAGCCCCTCTCCAGGCTTCTTCTAGATTACACTGCAGTTATCCCCAATCCTCCCCGTGTTTTTCAGGTATTAACAAGACTACAGCTACCATACAAAGGTGTGCTGGGAGGAGGATGAGAACAGGGAATGTGCACTGACAAACACCAGTGGAGTGACAAGGTTGGGTCAGAAACAGATTGTGGCCCTACAGTTCACCACTTGGCTTGGCACTGATAGTGTTCTTCCAAGCAGCCAGGTAGAAACAGGCTGTTTTCAAAGCTTTGCTTCAAATCACAACAAAACGTCTTTACAGGATGGAAACAGCTCACACCCAGGTAATATGCCAAGCAATAGGAAATGAGCTCTTCTTGCTGCAGCAGTCCCTGGGTCAGCTTCTAAGCAGCTCCATGTACACCAAGGAGCAAGAGGAGTGCACCTTCTGCAACAGAGATGGTCCTCTCTGCCTGGGCATGTCTCCTCTCCAGGCAGAGCTCACAGGAAGCGGCAGCATGCAGTCCTCCAAGCCTTCACATAAAACCATAGAGTTAGGGTTGGAAGGGAGCTTAAGATCATCTAGTTCCAACATGCTGGAATTTTCCTGACCAGGTAAATCATTAAAGTCACCCCAGGCCCAGCAAGTGGTTATTCACCAGTGTGAAACAGCCTGAAGTGGCTGGATGCAGGAGACTAACCAGACAGGAACTCCCAGTGATTTCCTATCTTGTGCTTAAACTTCCCAAACATCCCTGAAGGGATTTGTAGTATTTGAAAACACTACGGACTGTTCCCAAGAACAGTTTGGGTTTTCTTCATTTGTTCTCCTGTTGCTTTACTCAGGCTGCCTGGATCTTCAGGGTCTTTTTATTGGGTCAAGAGATGAGTTATCCAGATTTTCAGTTGAAGCAGTGCAGCCCCAGATGATGGAAGCAGCAGTAAGAGCCTTAAGACTGTGAGCATGCAAAAGGTGCTGACTTTGTGCTGGAGCCCTTTAGACACTACAGAAGGTCTAGGAAAAGCCTGAAAGAAATCTGTGTAAATGTTTAGTTGCATTTCCTAGTGATGAAGACAGTTTCTTCCTTGGTTCCTGCCAATACCACCTTTTCCCAATGTTGCTTAACATGCCCGAGAGCTAGCACCTTCCACACAAGGCACATCTGCATTTCAGAGACTGGCAGAGAGAAGCACCAAGAATCACCCAGATGAATGCCTGTAAACATCTACAATATTCATGTTTCCCAGTGCTTCCAAATTGCTTTCATTGTAGCGACAATGAAAACTCTAGTCTGAGCACTCTCTCCTTTGCATACAGGTACCTGCCTTTCCCTAACAGCCAGGAGTTGTGACTACACATGGGGAGACAACCATACTCCATGTGTCACCCCATCCTTCGGTATCCTGAGCGACTGGCCTCCAAACCACTGCTGTATGAAGCATTTTAAAGTGTACTTTGTGAGAATGGCTGTGACCAAATGAATGATTTAGTAACCAAGTGTTTGGAGTGAAGCAGTTGAGTAAAGCCGCAGAGGGCATGAGCAACTGGGCTGGATTTGAGCAGCAGCTGCTCCACATTTGTAGAATAATAGATCTGATGAACATATTTGTGAGGAAAACTGGGCACAGCTGGGATGCAGCTCAAACGAGAAACAGCAAATTGGGAGCAACTGCATCGAAGGGTTGGTTTTCAGACCAACTCCACTAAAGCTGCGTGTAATTGGGTTTGGGGGTTTTAATGTAATAGTTTGGCAGACAAGGGAAGCAGGGAGAAAATGCCTGTGTCTGAAGTAATCACTATGTAAAGGTCTGCAGCAGAGTCAGAAAATCAGTGTTCTTTTAGAGTACAGAAGTAATTCAATTGAGTTCAATAAAAACTATATGAACAGACATATTGAAGAGAAATTCTGTGCTTTTCCAGAGAAACACCACACATTAAAGCTCATGGCATACTAAGTACAGATATTAAATCATCAGGGCAAACTTTCAGTTGCTGTTACACCCAAAAGGAACCTACAGTTTGCACCTTGCCTTCTAAAAGTCATCTCAGGAGTGGACGTCGCACAGCACAGGAGTCAAGATTTGCACAAAGCTGTTGGAAAAGCACGTACCAATGGATTATTGGAGATTCAGTGCCATAAAAACATAACTGTGCCACAGTTATCAGTAAACAGCATACAACTGAAATTATATTTCTGAAAGATACGAGGTGAAATAATATTGTTTCATCAGCTTGGGAGATTCATCAGCTTAGTTCCACTAAGCAAAGCCAAAACCAAATCATACAGGCACACCTATGTTGGATCAATAGAGATAAGAGTCCTTGCAGGATGGAAACAGCCCTGATCACTGCTTCATAGTGTAACTCATTAACTACAGATAGCCACATTCCTGAGGCCATCTCCCACCAGTACCAGGAGGCTGCCTCAGGAGCAGCCCCCACACTGTACTGGTGAATGGGGACAGCCCATTCTGGGTGCAGGACTCTGCACTGCTCCTTTCCTTTCTCTACTGTATAATGAGCTACAATCCTCTACTCATCCTTACTCCCTTCCAGACCAGAAAAAACTGATTGAAACCCCATGTAGTTAGCTATTTTCCCCCTATTTTGATCTATTTTCTTTTACTGAGAAAGTAAAAGGATGTCCAGCCTCCCCAGATGAAGCTGTTGGATAATTTGGGACATCACCAGTTCCTTATTTCACCACGTATTTCCAAAGAGCTAATAGACTGGCATAAGCAAGAACAGCAAAAAGCACTGACATTCCATCAAACATTCAAATACAGGGGTGAGGGTGGTTATTATTATAGCTGTAACCAAAATGATTTGGGAAATGCTTTTCAGAGAGGAGATGAATATCCAGAGGAACTTCCTCCTGTCTGGAGAGAAGAGTCCCTCCAGGTAGATCTGTGCTCTGATGAAGGAGCTGGATCCCACAGCAAGTAAACATGTTTTACCAACACCATGGAGTGAGTAAGCAGCTTCCCTGCTCCTTCTGTGCACCCAAGCTAGCAAGAAGTGAACACACCTGAATCCCTTCACTAAACTATACTTAATACCCACTATTTAATTAAGTCTTAAGCTAAATGACTGGGGGAGAAAGAGCACAAGTTAATTAAGAGATCACCATGGAGGATATAAAACCCCTTTGACAGAACAATACATAATATATGAAAGACAAAGCAAAAGGGCTCTAATTTCAGATTGGCTCCAGAATACCTCAAGCCTCACGCTGTCTGTATTAATTAAGTGTGTTTGAAGTCAGGACATCTCATGCCTCCACATACAAAGGCTTGTATTTACAACTACAGCTTTAGATACATAGCACCAACACTTAACAGATTCAGGTAGAGCAGGTGAAATGGATACTGCCATGTCATTTTTAGATGCAGTACCTTTGAACCCTATTAAAAATAAAATAGGCTTTCATTAAAGCTGCAGCCTTCATCTAAGACGGTTGCAAGCACTAGTTGTTAATTATAGATTAAACATTGCCACAAGACTTTGTACTTGAAGCTAACCCACATCAACCGAGCTCCAAGCTCAGCGTTTGAGAATTCCAAGATCACACAGCATCAGGCACATTCAAATTGTTTGCACGTACTTGGATTCTCTTGCAAAGAGGCTCTTCGTGCACATCACCCTATAGTAGCATCACGCTCATCTTACAACTACTCCTGCTAGATCTGCTTACACTGTTACACACAATCCTCTCATCCACTTAAAATTATTTCCTTTAGAGCAATTAGTAATAATAGATAGCTATTAAATGATTATTTCTACACTAACATTGTTTCAAACATGCCTTCTAAATATTTTTATTCAGCCCAGTTACTTACATTCCAAGAGCTATTTATATTCCTGAAGCAATAATATAAATACCAATTCAACTGCTACAAGGTTAAGGGATTGTGTATCTTAAAAACCATAATATTATTAAAGACTTCAAGGGTTTTGTCATGATTGCTACAAAGCACCAGCACATTCCCACAAGCCACTGCAGAAGAGCTACTAAGAAGCTTGTGCTGGAGAAACAGGATTAAGACCAATGATGAAAACTGAGCAACATTTTCCTACCTGATGTCACAACAGCTTGGACTCTCAGGGTTTACGGTCAGGCAGGCTAACAGGACAGCTCTCTCAGGAAATCCTCCAAGCAGGGCTATAGGCAGAGGAATGCTTTATAGACCGTGCTTTGTTTCCGTTAACCAGCACAGGGCTGAGGAGTGACCCCCGCCCCTCCTCAGGTGGGATCCAACAGCAGGATGAGGATGAAGGGCAGAGTCTGAGCAGCTCATGAGGCTCTTGTTAGTTCATTAGGAAGGGAGGAGGTAGGGGGCTAGCTCAGTGCACTGAATGACGTGAACCTTGAGTGAAAAGAAGCTGCGTGGTGCTTCTCTGTATCCATAAGGTGCAAGTTGAGCAGGCTGCTGATACCACCCTCGTTCAGAGAAAAAAGAACACGGTGCTCAGGTTGTTTGAGTTTAGGGAATGAAAGCACACAGAATTCCTCAACATCTGCAGGAGAGAGGAAAATGCTTGAGGATCCTGAGTTACTGAGGAGTAGAGCAGGAGAGCTCCAGTAACCATTCAGGGCTGAGCAGCTGCAGGATTTACCCTACTCACTTGGTTCATTCTTTTCTATGCTCAAGCCTCCTCTCTAAGTGGTTTTGTGTACAAGTGACTGACTCTACATGAGGTAAAGTGCAACAAGAGTAGAAAAAGATACGGTTCCAAACTGAGATCCTTCTTCTTTCTCAAATTCTGACACACACATGTCCATGATAAAGTAAAATTTATCATTTCCTCCCAGTGCCTAAAGGGGCCAACAAGAAACCGGGAAAGGGTTTTTTGGCAAGGGCCTGTAGTGATAGGACAGAGGGGAGACTGAGATGAGCTCTTAGGCAGAAGCTCTTCCCTGTGAGGGTGCTGAGGCGCTGGCACAGGGTGCCCAGAGAAGCTGTGGCTGCCCCATCCCTGGCAGTGTTCAAGGCCAGGTTGGACACAGGGGCTTGGAGCAAGCTGCTCTAGTGGAAGGGGTCCCTGCCCATGGCAGGTGTTGGGACTGGAGGACCTTTAAGGTCCCTTCCAACACAAACCAGGCTGGGATTCTGTGATAATCTCCTCAGGCATTCTCCTCTATTCTTAATTCCCATGGCAATCCTTCCGAAAAGGGTCTGCACTGTCACTGTAAAAGCACAGTCATTCCATCTCCAGAAAGCAGCAGGTCAGCTCAAGTGTTGTATCTGAAAGCTGGTAAATTCCACTGAGCTGCTTTTCTAAGGGAAAAAAAAAGACAGAGGAAACTCAATAATATTGTAATGAAATGATGGCAATCGCTGCAGTTTGTCTTCAATGTGGATTTCCCCCAGGCACATCCTGCCTGCATTAGATTTTTGTCTATAATATGTTGCTCTTACAGAGTCTGTTACTACACATGGAAAAAAATTCCAGCCCTCACTGTTTAATATCCTCGAAGAATCATGTTCTTGGGGGCAAAACAATACTTAAATGCTTCATCCAGAAAGTAAACAGCTGAGTTCTTACCTCAATGACACAGTGAGAACTCTGTTAAGGACTCAGTTTTTCAACCTTTACACATTTTTATGCTTCTTGTTTATCTTACTAAATACCTGGCAAGTTGTTCCACCTGCCGTAAGTGTAGAAGCCATCCCCCTTATAGCAAAATTTAAAGAGATGTGCATGAAAGAAGAGGAGCAGCGTATTAACAAAGCATGCTCTGGTATCTTCACAGCACTCATAGACACTGTGCAGCTCCACGCTCTTGGGTTTCCTGCTGACTGGGATGTGTAGGCAAATATATGTTGTAAATGTGTTTGTATTCCTTAATGACAAACACAGAAAGCTCATGTTACCACAGGCATTCTCCATAATCTGTTCCCTTATGTTTCAAAATCACTTTCTAATGGAACTTAAGGACAAGAATGTTAATTCAGCTGCACTAAACATCAGATCACTTAGCACTTCTAATAGGCTTTATTCCTGTGTCTCAAACCAGTTAAACAGAGACCTACAGCATACGCAGCGCATCCTTCCTCTTCTGTTTAGTAACAGTGAAAAACAATCCGGAGCGGCAGCCATAAGCTTGTGTTTTAAATGAACTCAGTCTCTATTTATTTTACCTTCTACTCTTAGTAGTAGTAGTAGACACCAACATCAAACAATTATAAATGGGAAAGCAGAAAATAAAACTTTACTCTTCCCATGATATTCCTTCACATGTTTTGCAGAACTCTGGATGTGAAGAGTTACCAATGCCTTCCTATAGCTAACGTGGGCTGGTATTTGTATAGATAGCTGGTATTCTCTCATGAGAATAAAGGGGAGAAAACCACTGAAAGATAAGAAAATCTCATTGTAAAGCCATAAAACTGGCTCTAAGAGTATTTTTAGTGACCTGAAGGTATTCTCCAACTACTTTAAAAGACTTCTTGTATTTCCAGTTGATTGCATCTATTCACGACTGTGCAGTGGTAACAGTACAGAACACCTGCCTCCGTACAGTACTTTTTCTCTAAGTAGGAAAAACTACAAGCAAGAATAGACTTGGAATTGAATTGTAAAAGCAGAACAAAATACTTTTGTCCCCTGGGAAATGAATTAAAGTACTTTAAGCTACAAGAGTGTAACACTGCTTACACTAGTGCAAAGAAGATGGACTGCAATAGCTCCCAGACTATTGCAATTGTCACTTCTACTGTGTTTGCCAGACATGCCCCTAAAATCTCTTTACTTGATCTAAGATATGAAGTTTTACAAAATGTATTAGATCATTTCCAGGCAGGAGGTTAAATGCAATTCAAGGACTTTTCTAGTTACTGCAACCATCATTGTATAACCTGAGAGAAGGTATGGGAAGTGATCCATAGCAAAGCAGTTGGAGTCATCACTTTCTACAGGCTTTACTGATGGAGATTTCCCTAAGATAATCAGTAAATTGATTTATACTCTTGAGCAGGTTTAGAGCCTGGGTCATTGGGAAAATCAATACCACTTTCAGGCTTGGCAACCACTCGCCAGGCAGTTTTGTTAGAAAGGAAAACAGGAGGTGAGTTATTGAAATATATAAGTGATGAAGAGCAGCTCTAAAGTTTTTGAAACTAGAGGGAGAATACACATCTTTCTTCTCCTCATTGGATGCAAAACGTAAGTAAAGTAACACAGCTTCACTGAATTCTGACTTGTTTACTGACTCCTAAGTCAACAACTCCTGGCTTACCAGCAGGTGCTACAGCTCACAGATCTGACAGCAGTTACTCAAAGCCAGCTTTGCGTGGCTCCTGCAATTAGTTTCTTAAGCCATCATCATCATCTTCTTCGTCATCATGGCTTGACTTCACGAACGAAGATTTGGGAAGGGCTTTACCCACGCTTACTACAGGCGCGCTGATGACTAAAAAGGCCAATGTGAGACAGGCAAATCCAGCTGGAAAAAGCACAGCGAAAGCGCTCCTTGGGTGGTATAGGCAGGGCACGATTCTTTCCACATTGTCTTTTCTCCTCGAGACTAGTTCTCAAAGGAGTCAGCGGCATTATGTGTGGTGTGTCTCCAAGTCTCCCGACTGGAGGCCAAGGTGGACAACTGATGGTAGTCAATATGGCCAAGGCTAAGGTGCTGTTTCAGGGAGTCCTTATATCTCTTCTTTGGGGCACTTCTCTTGTGGGGAGTTCACCGTAAAACACGATCCTAGGGGGGCGGTGATCCTTCATCCTGGAGACGTGCCCTGCCCAGCACAGCTGCAATTTCAGCAATAGGGCCTCGATACTGGTGACCCCTGCCTGCTCAAGGACAGTAACATTTGACACAGTCAGTCCGATGGATGTTTAGAATTGTATGGAGGCAGTGCTGATGAAAGCAGTTTCTTAAGCACATAAAAGAAAAACAACCCCTCTTTTAGAAAGGTTTATAAATGAGAAAGGTTTTCTCAGTGCTGCTCTAGACCTGGTTCTGCTGGGTGATACAATCAAGGTGGCTGTGTCTTGGTGCTTTGGCTTTTTATTCCCCTTCTTTTTATTAGACTGCAACTTTGGGTCTTACTGCTAAAATCTCTTTGTGATGCTGGTGGGTTTTCTCACAGCAGTAGTGTTTTTATCTCTTCTTATAAAAGTGTCTGAGGTATTTGTATGCCTTTGCTGACTATAAAGGACATTTAAGTGAGGAGCCTAAAATATTTGAGTGATGGATGACTGTATCAAGAGGAGCTAAGATCCTCAAGAGGTATTGGCAGCTCGCAGCTTACAAGTGGGCTTGGTCTACAAGAAATAGGACACTAAGGACACTAAGAGGACACTAAGAAAGAGGACACTAAAAAGAGCGACATGGGAGCTGTGGTCGCGCAGTGTTTGTGAGGTTGTTTGGGGTTGGTTTCTGTTGGGTTGTTAAGAGGTTTTTTTGAGGGGTGGTCTCTAGTACACCTGTATCTATAGGAAATACACAGGACGGGACAGGGTACTCGAAAGAATGTGCTTTCTCCTGAAAGCAGTTACCATGTGTTCAGGCAGGTGTGTGTAAGCTGTGGAACAGAGGAGCTGTGGCTGCCCCATCCCTGGCAGTGCTCAAGGCCAGGTTGGACACAGGGGCTTGGAGCAAGCTGCTCTAGTGGAAGGGGTCCCTGCCCATGGCAGGGGTTGGGACTGGATGAGCTTTAAGGTCCTTTCCAGACCAAACCAGGCTGTGTTCTATAACCTAAGAGTTGTGCAAGCCACACTTGCTTCTTGAAGCATTGCCTGTGAAAACCAAGTCATGTAACACCAGTCTGGTTTTCTTGCATCAACAAATAAGCACAGTAGGTTTCTGAGGACCGACCTGTGCTTGTGTGTGGCTTCTGTTACACTTTGCTGCTCTGTGCCTGCAGGGGAGGTATCCCGGCTGAGGAACATGGCCATCACCAGAGGGCAAACCAAGCAGGTATCCGGGGAGAGCGCCGGTTGTTAACACGCCCATGTGTAAAGACCTGAGGAATGACATGGACAGTGGGATTGAGTGCGCCCTCAGCAAGTTTGCTGATGACACCAAGCTGTGTGGTTCGGTTGATACCCTGGAGTGAAGGAATGCCATCCAGAGGGACCTCGACACGCTTGTGAGGTGGGCTGATGCCAACCTCATGGAGTTTAACCATGTCAAGTGCAAGGTCCTACACCTGGGTCAGGGCAATCCCAGGCACAGCTACAGGTTG